CCAGCGGTCTACATGTCACATGGTGCCAAAGGTCAGTTGAAATGAGAAAAGCAAGCTGCTTACATCAACTTTACAAACGTAATTGAACATTTTGTCCTGAGAATCAGATTTGTTTAGTAACTTAATCTCATGCAGTTTGTAAATTCTACAGCGAAATTAGAGCCCCAAAATGGTGACTCTAAAGTTCACACTTTGCATGCTTACTTTTTTTTTTAAAAACACTATTTTTTTTTTTTTTAGCAGTTTTGGGTTTACAGAAGAATTGAGCAAAAAAAAAAGAGAATTTCCACCATCCCTTCTCCCCAATTTCCACTGTTATTAGCATCTGACATTAGTTTAGTATAATTGTGACAATTAGCAAATATTTATACATTATTAATTAAAGTCCATAGTTTACATTAGGGTTTACTCTTCACTTTGTGCATTTTATGGGTTTTGACCAATGTATAATGAAATTTGTCCATCATTACAATATCCTACAGAATACTTTCACTGCTTAAAAATCCTCTGTACTCCATCTATCCATTATAACTTCTTACACTTTCCCCCATGACAAGCCCCTTAACAACCACTGATCTTTTTATGCTTTCTAAGGTATTCAGCCCCCCCTTTTTTTTTTTAAGATTTTATTCATTTATTTGAGAGATGTAGACTGTCTTCCAAAGCTGCTGAATGATTTTGCATCCCCACCAGCAGTGAATGACACTTTCTACTGTCCCACATCCTCATTAGTATTTGGGTCATCAGTATTTGGGATTTTAGTCATTCTAATAATTGTGTGGTGGTATTTCATTGTCATTTTAGTTTGCAATTCTCTGTTGACATATGGTGTTAATCATCTTTTCATATGCTTATCTGTCACCTGTGTATCTTCTTTGGTGAGGTGTCTGTTTAGATCTTTTGTTTATTTTCAAATTGAAGGGGTTTTTTTCCCCCTTATTATCACTTCTTTTATCAGTAACATTATTTTATTTTATTTGTTTATTTTTAAAGATTTTATTTATTTATTTGAGACAGAGTGAGAGATAGAGACAGAGAGAGAGAGAGGTAGGGGCAGAGGGAGAGGGAGAAGCAGACTTCCCAATGAACAGGGAACCCTATGTGGGGCTTGATCCCAGGACCCCAAGATCATGACCTTTGATGGAAGGCAGATGCTTAACCAACTGAGCCACCCAGGTACCCCATTTTATTTTTTTAAAAGATTTTATTTATTTATTTGAGAAAGAGCAGGGGGAGGGGCAGAGCGAGAGGAAGAGAGAGAATCTCAAGCAGACTCCACAATGAGTGTGAAACCTGACTCAGGACTTGATCCCACAACCCTGAGATCATGACCTGAGCTGAAATCAAGAGTTGGATGCTTAACTGACCCAGCCATCCAGTTGCCCTCTCTCCTAAATTGCTTATGGTTGGATCTTAGTTTTGTTTTTCTAATTTTCTTTATATTTTAATATGTTCAGTTCATTAACATTTAGTACCATCATTTATATAATTGGATGTAGGTCTAACTAAATTGTTTCCTGTGTCTCCCTACAAATTCATGTTCCTCTGTTTTCTCTTTTTTACTTTTTTTATTATTTGATTTTTTTGAGCAATTCAAGTTTAATATGCCTATTGGCTTTTTAGAAGTTATCTTTTGAAATTTTTTTAGTGACTACTCTAGGGACTACACTACACAGGCTTAACTCTTCACAGTCTGCTTCATGTTAATATTGCACAATTTACTTATTTTTTACAATTGCAGAATTTATTGAAGTTAGAAACTTTGTACTTATTATTTTTTATAAATATCAAATTTATAAAATATCAAATTCTTCAAGATGATACTATAAATTTTTCTTTGTAAAGGTATATATATTTTAAAGAAAAAAATGTATCTTTGTTCTCTCAGATATTACTCATTTCTGATATTCTCTTTTGATATCTGAAGTTCTAACTTTGCCTCTGGTATCATATCCCTTCAGCATAAGGACATTTCTTATAATTTTTTTTAATTTAATTTTTTTTTCAGCATAACAGTATTCCTTGTTTTTGCACCACACCCAGTGCTCCATGCAATCCGTGCCCTCTCCAATACCCACCACCTGGTTCTCCCAACCTCCCACCCCCCGCTGCTTCAAACCCCTCAGATTGTTTTTCAGAGTCCATAGTCTCTCATGGTTCACCTCCCCTTCCAATTTCCCCCAACTCCCTTTTCCCCTCTAATGCCCCTTGTCCTCCATGCTATTTGTTAGGCTCCACAAATAAGTGAAACCATATGATAATTGACTCTCTCTGCTTGACTTATTTCACTCAGCATAATACTCCATAGTGTATATGGACCACATCTTCCTTATCCATTCATCCATTGAAGGTCATCTTAGTTCTTTCCACAGTTTGGCAACCGTGGCCATTGCTGCTATACACATCGGGGTACAGATGGCCCTTCTTTTCACTACATCTGTATCTTTGGGGTAAATACCCAGTAGTGCAATTGCAGGGTCATAGGGAAGCTCTATTTTTAATTTCTTGAGGAATCTCCACACTGTTCTCCAAAGTGGCTGCACCAACTTGCATTCCCACCAACAGTGTAAGACTATAATTTTCTTATAGTATGATTCTGATGACAACACGTTTTTTTTAGCAATAATTGAAAAAGTCCTTAATTTCATCTCTTTGAAGGATTTTTCTCTATGAAATGATGACTTAATAGTTTTTTCCCCCTCTTCGTTCTGGAGTTTAGGATATTGTTTCACTGTCCCCTGGCTTCCATGGTTTCTGATGAGAATTCTTGGCCATACAACTGTTTTTCTTTGGCTGCTTTCAAGATATTATCTTTACCATTGGTTTTCAATAATTAGACTACAGAGTGCTTGGGTGTGGTAAATTTTTTTTGTTTGTTTATGTGGTTTGGGATTCTCTGAGCTCCTTGAATATGGAAAATTATGCCTTTAACGTAATTGGTAAGTTTCCAGCCACTATTTCTTCAAATCATTTTCTGTTCTATTTTCTCTTTTGTGTTCTTCCTGGAAATCCAATTACATTATATAAGACATTTTTACATTGTTGCACAAGTCCCTGAACTCTGTTCCTTTTCCATCCCTCTTGTCTTTGTTTTTCAAATTCAATAAATTCTGTTGATCTATGGTCAAGTTCACTGACTCTCCTATGTCATCCCCATTCTACTTCACAGACCATCCAGTGAATATGTTTTGCTGATATTTGAGCTTTTTGTTTAATTATAAAAATATTTCCAATTCCTTTACTAAGTTTTTTTCTATTTATTATGACCATATTTGCTTTACCTCAGTGATGATACTTTTATTCACTTTTTTAAAGCCCTAGTCTGATAATTCAAACATTTAGACCATCTAAAGGCTAATGTTTATTGGACTTAGTTTGTCTTTTTTCCCCATGAAATTAACAAATAGGTCACATTTTTCTGGCACTTCATATACTGAATAATTTTGCAATGTATTCTGGTTATTATATTATGTTGTGAAGCCTGGGTATTTCCTATATTTCTCCAAAGAGTGTTGACATTCTTATTTCGGCAGGCAGTTAATTTAGTTCACTTGAATGCAAACTCTATCACCCTAGTAGTTGGCAGTGATTCAAATCTCCCTTGAGATTGCTCTTATTCTGTCTCATGCATGCGTGGTTTAGAGGTTTGCTGATGTCATATAAATTTATACACAGAATTTGTGACTTCTCTTCTCCGCCCCTCCCTTTTCTGGGATTTCCTACTCATCCAGAATAATGTTTAACCAAATACCTGGGCACCTCATGGCCCAGCCAAGTTGACACATAAAATTAACTATCTCAGTCTATCAGGTTCATCGCCATGATTTGAGAGTTTCCCTGCAAGACACACATTGTCCACTTATCTAGTTAAGGAATTCTGAGTACACTTCATCAACTTTCAAACCAACCACTGACAGCAGCTTCTTTCTGCATTTCTGTAAATAATCTCTCATATCTACTTGTATTTTTACTTATCCTTTTCTTTCCCTAACATTGTCAAATAGAACTTTCTGTGATGATGCAGATGCTTAAATCTGCAGTGTTCCATATAGTTTTGAATTAGCCACAGACAGCTTTGAGCACTGGAAATGTGGCTCATCTGATAGGGAAACGGAATTCTTAACTTTAGTTAATTTAAATTTAGACAGCCCCGTGTGGCTAATGACTACTATATGGACAGCGTACCCTTGAACATGATTTTGTTTCCTTTTTCAAAATATATTCGCTAACTGACACATTTCTCAGATAATTTGCTTTGATAGCAAATTAAATAATAATTAGCTAATATTATTATATATTAATAATATTAATATTATTATAATAGCTTTGATAGCTAATTAAATAATAATTTATGGGGTCACAATTTGTGTAACATTAATGGTAAGCATGTTTTTTATTCCTTTTCTCAGTCTTAGAAGGTTTTTTAAAACTTTTTTTTTGTATCTGAAAGTTACTGATCTCTTCCAACACACACACACACACACACACACACACACACACACACACACCCATAGAGTCAAAAATCCTTTTACTTTTACTGCTATACAAAAATAAATAAATAAATAAAATGGTGTTTTTTTACATGCATGGTCACTGTAGTCATTCTCCTTTTGCCAAGCTTCCTAAGCATGTTAAAATTGTTATAAATCTGCATTTTTTTTCCATGGAAACTGTTAACAGACTATTAGTTGTACTGTATTTCTGAAGCCTCTGCCCCTCAATTATTTCTAAGAAAATTACTTTTAAGCTTGTCAAGAAATTTTCCTCTTAATCTCTGCTAATTTTCTAAGTGCTGGTAATTCACACTGATTAGATTAGGTATTGTTACTCTTCTTTACAGAAATAATAAGAATCTTTAAAAATAAGTTGCAATTCATTATTTTGTATGTTTAATTTTAAACTGTGGATGTGACCATTTAACACACCAATTGGAGATTTTTACTTTATATATTACAAATTTTTCAATTTATTTCATGATCTTTTGATATTTATCATTTCAGGACCACCAAACAATTTTGAGAGCATGGGCTGTAAAAGATTTTGCTCCAAATTGTCCTTTGTATGTCCAGATATTAAAGCCTGAAAATAAATTCCATATCAAATTTGCTGGTAAGTTTAGTCTCAACTGAGATACTTTGAATTTCCTCCAACTGTGATAGTAAGAGTTATGTCTCTGAAATTAGTGGCAACTTAATATATATATTCCTGATTGTATAGAATAGAAGGATTTCTTTTTGTCATCTACTGGTTATGAGAGAATTTATTTACTTTAAAAATGTCCAGGTAATGTTTTGGGAGTGAAAATTTTTTTCTTTTTTTATAATTTGGTGATTTAATCAATTGAATTTACTGGACACCTTGGTAAGAATATAAATAGATTAGCACTTACAGTTTTATCCATAATCTAAACACAGGTCTTGAATGTTGCAGCCATTAATTTATACTATGGTTACACATAAATAGGTAGTGCTTTGTTATAAATAGTATCTACCTCTCTTTGTTATGGATAGGTGGTGCTTTGTTATAGATTACTTAATACATTTGTAAGCTTACCATGCATTAGAGTAAAATTAAAATATATTGTAATGTTAAAATATATTCAGGTGTATTAAAATGTATTTATTTGGAGATAATAAATTTATTTGAAGATTTATTTGGAGATAATATAGATTTTGAAAACATTTCAAGGAAAACATACATGTGAGTTTTTTAAAGTCATTTCATATGATTTTATTTCATATACTTTAAACTGTCGTTTCATATACTTTAAGCTGTTAAGAAATTGAACAGTAAGGGACGCCTGGGTGGCTCAGTTGGTTGGACGACTGCCTCCGGCTCAGGTCATGATCTCGGAGTCCTGGGATCGAGTCCCGCATCGGGCTCCTAGCTCCATGGGGAGTCTGCTTCTCCCTCTGACCTTCTCCTCGCTCATGCTCTCTCTCACTGTCTCTCTCTCGAATAAATAAATAAAATCTTAAAAAAAAAAAAAAAAGAAATTGAACAGTAAGATCATACTTTATTTTTTTCTTAAATGTTTCCATAGGAACTAATTTTGATCCAGGAAGTAGTTTATATACATTGAAAAAATTGACATCCTTGTTTTTTTTTTAAAATTTCACCTTAATAATTTAAAGCTGCAAACATCATTAAAATGCAAATCATTTTAACTATGTGTTAACAAAGGTATTTCTTCATCTGTGTTTATATATCTTAAAATGCTTACCTATTCGTATGTGATATTTAAACGAAAAATTATGAACACTAAGAAATTTCTAAATATCAAGAAAACCATGAAATTTTTGCAATTTAGTTTGCTGTTTTTTATCTTTTACTCTTGATTTTAATGACATCAGTTTACTAAAAATGTATGGCAAACAAAGCAATGACTCTTAACTGTGGCTGCATTTTAGTATCTGTTTGAAAGTTTGTTTTAAGTACAAATACTGATTTAAATGATTTGTGATGATGGTGCTATGATTTTGTTTTGTTTTTAAAAAAAACCTGTTCCCTAAACTGAAAGTAAAAATAAGAGCACCTCCTTTGTAAATGGCTTTGTGAAATTTATTGGAAAATGCATGTAAATTCTACATCTACTACCTGTTACATATGTAATTAGCTTTCAAGAAATGCCAATTGTTTATCTAAAAGACTTTTGCAACTAAGCTGCCTTCTTTTTATTATTATTTAGTAAAAGGAATTTTTTTTTTAAAGATTTGTATTTATTTATTTAACAGAGAGTGAGATCACAATTAGGCAGAGAGGCAGGCAGAGAGAGAGGGGAAGTGGGCTCCCCGCCGAGCAGAGAGCCCGATGCGGGGCTTGATCCCAGGACCCCAAGATCATGACCTGAGCTGAAGGCAGAGGCTTAACCCCCTGAGCCACCCAGGCACCCCAAAAAGGAATATTATTGTAAAATTTTTATCATGCCTGATAATGACTTAATATGAAGTTATTTTAAGGAAGGCAGCAATGACATAAGTCCTAAAACTGTGAATTTAAATTTGAGTGTCACCACTTAAGATTTAGATAGCCAAATTAGTATTCTGAACCCTATTTTTCTCTTCTGTTAATTTATGTTATTGTATGTATGAGGTCTCTATTTCATTGGTTAAGATTATCAGTAAGGAAATAATATCTGAAACATATTAGGTGCTCAATAAATGGATATCAGATGTGGATCCTAAAACAATATGTAGTTTGGGAAGACAATTTATAATTTTGAATGTGTTATAACTAAGATTCAGAATAGACTTTAGTTCTTTCCCCTTCTTCACAAGCACTAGATAGGTTTACAACAGATAGATCAAATTCACGGGAATATTCCACCTTTACAAATAAATAATTACAAAGACTATTTACATTAATTCTCTTTCATATTCTTCTTATCTTGCCATTATTTTGATAAGTCCATTGAAATGAATGTGATAATTAAAAGTTCTATCCTGATAGTTTGTCACAATATTTCTTATTTATGACACCTGCTGAAATTCCTTTTAATGACATCTGTCTTCTTTTAGGTTGAGATTACAACATCTCAGAAGAACTGTTTTTTTTTATATTATAAAAAGTAAAAGCATTCTACTTTCATTAAAATGTCATAAAACAGTTTGGAGTGATCTATGAGACTCTTAAACCAATATAATATATTTCACATCTCAGCCTGAGGTTAAAAGATTACAGACTTTACCTTTCAAAAGACAGTATATCAAGCTGGCACTTAGTTTTTATGGTAGATTGTTAAAATAATGGTCTTCAATGAACCATGTTCCCTGTGTCTGTCCAGTGTAGATGGGATCTTGCAGTTTATTCCATGAAGAGGTGAAATGTAGTCTCTACCCCTTGAATACAGGCTGATCTTGTGACTGTGACCAGAATGTGACAAAAGTTACACTGTATGACTTCAGAGGCTAAGTCTTAAAAATCTATGCTTCTGTTTTCCCTTCACTGGAAAACTACCTAGAGAACTGCATGTAAGGAATCCCAATTCAGGGGTGCCTGGGTGGCTCAGTCAGTTAAGCATCTGCCTTTGGTTCAGGTCATGATCTCCGTGTCCTGGCATTGAGGCATAGGTTGGGCTTCCTGCTCAGTAAGGAGTCTGCTTCTCTCTCTCTCTCTTTCCCTCTCTCTCTTTGCCCTTCCCCGCTGTTGGTTCAATCCCTCAAATAAATGAGTAAAATCATAAGGAAAAAAAAAAAAAAAGAATCCCAGCTTAGCCTCCCTAAGGATGAAAATCACATAGGAAGTGACACTTATCCATCTCAGGCTCCCCACCTCTCTAGCTCCCAACTTACCCACAGTCAACCCAGAGAGTCATGCTGACCTACAGAATTTTGAGAAATAAAAGTATTGGTTGCTCAAAGTTAATGAGTTTTGTTTGTAGTTATCTACTACTTGGCAATAGATATCTAATATCATTTGTAACAAAATAATAATTGCTTTGATCTTAAACCAATATTCATTTGATAATATTCACAATATTTTTGTCTTTGCGTTCTCATGAGTGTTAAATAGTACAATTCCAATTATACAGGATATAAAATGAGATCATTTTATTTCTGTGCCTCATCATACATGCTAAATTGTGGAACTACTACCATGACTATAATTTATATTTTTTTTAAAAATAAATCCATGGTTTTAAAAGATGAAAAGAAGAAACCTCAAAATTTGAGTTATGAGTATATAAAATATTAAAAAGTAAAAATAATATAGTGATCTGGCAGCTACTACTTTATGCACATCTATCAGTCATATCATATATGGATCCTTTTCTTCTGGACAAAATGACTATACTCATTAAACTGTTGAGTTGTTGCAATATTATTTGAATGAATTATTATATTATTGATTACAATTAAAATAATCTTCTACACTTTGATGAGAGTTATAGGAAAGATGTCTATATGGGCATGATTTTAGCAGCAGAAAAGATGTGTTCTTAACCTTTTTTACTGAGAGAGAAAAGTAAAAATAGTAAGTCTGGAGATAGAAAATATCTTCGGTAGAATAATGGCTATGATACAGAATTTGTGAATATAAACCACTACAAGTCTTAATGAGATTCAATAACATAAAAATATGCTTCATAGATAATTTTATTATTTTAATCACCACAGATTTCCTAAGAAGAAAATAAACTCAAACTGGCTCATAGAAAAATTTACTTTCAGCGATTTTCCTTTTTATGATAAATTTGTCAAAGTAAAGAGTTCGATAGTGCAAATCCTGGAATGAGACTATCCTCAGTCAAATTTCAATTTCTACTGTATAGTAACTACATGACCTTGGGCTTCTTAATTTCTCTCAGCTTGAGATCTTTGATATATAAAGTGTGGATAATAAGAGAAACTATCTCATAGGGTTATTATAATTAAAAAAATACTCAAAAGAACATCAGCCACCAGTAATTGGTACCTATCAAATTGATGATTTTCATGAATCTTGAGTATCTATTTCTCATCTTCCTAACAAATCTATATTAGCTTTATTTCCAGGAAAAATGATTGAGCATTTCTCATGATGTCTTACAGCTTATTATAGACATTCAAAAAGCACGTAGTTCTCAGTTTGCACATATCTTCCAGAGAGTAGAAAAAGAAACATCTTTTCCCAACTCATTTTATGAGGCTGACCTAGTCATGATACAAAACTTATTGAGGATAACATGAGAAATGATTAGAAACCAATTTAATTGATTAACATAGTTGAAAAATTATCTAAAATACATTGGCAAAATTATCAAAGTAATGTAGTTTAAAAAATAATATATCATCACCAAATTGAAGTTATTCCAGAAATAGATCATCATGTCAAAGGAAAAATAAAATTTAATGGATACAAAAAAAGCTTTTGAGAGAGAATTTAGTATCCATTTACAATCTGAAAAAAAAGGAAAAAAAAGAAAGCAAAAGTGTTAGAAAGCTACGAAGAAAATATACCTTAACCTAAGGAAAATAATCTGCACAGTAACCTAGAGGTAAAAAAAAGAATATTTAATGACCACTTATTGAAAGTCTGCCTTTAAGATTAGAAGTCCAATGCGCTATCCATTGCACCATGGAGCCACCTGCCTTTAAGATTAGGTACAAATAGGGATGCTTACCAAAGCC